ATCTGTTTTTTGAGTTTAAACCCTCCTTAATCCCTATTTTTTGAATTAAAAAATATATATTTTCAATATTTCACTCATGAAATTAATTGGAATACAATATTAGTATAAAACTACTTTACAATGTCATAATTAGAATGAGTTATTTTGACACATAATTATAGAATTAAAAATAAAAAAAATTAAATTATAATTACACAATTTTAATAACAACCTCTCGTATGTTTTTTTCCTCATGTGTCAGAATAATTTATTCTAATTAGATGATAATGGAAAATGATTTTATACTCACAATAGATTTTAATTAATCTCTTCACACTTACGTATATTTTGTGTATCTTTTAATGCAATCAATAATCATCAAAGTCTCGAATATAATGACATCACATATTCTCAAAGCAATGTTACGCGAAGTATGAAAGATGTATCGTTTTGAGTTATACTTTACTATTTTTAATCCTCTTTATTATTTTCATTTATCTTAAATTATTTCTTTCTTTAGAACACTAACGCAATAATACATACTTCGACATATTTAAACGGAAAGCTATTTTTTCACAGATTTCAAATGAAACTTACTTTACTCGAAAAACTTTGGTGGTAAATTATATCAATCCTCTAAATCTCTAATAAATACACAAATATAAAATACGTGGAAAAACTATCACACATGATTTTAGATGACGTGGAGGAAGATAATTGGGAGTGCATGAAAGCATGAAGAAAAAACCCCAAAAATATCTCACTTAATGTTTGTTGATGGTTTGTTATTGCTTGACAAAGCTTCTGTCAGGAAAATGAAAGATAGTCAAAGAAATGCTTGACAAATTTTGTTGGATTTAAGGAAAAAAGACCATTTATGAGAAATCTAGTATTCTCTTCTAAATATAACTAACTATATGAATAGGAAGGAGGTTTTACAAATAGTAGGATCAAAGAAACCATACAAATAGGTCTCTAGTCCAGAACAGGAGACCTTTTGCCAGTTTAGATTTGATGTAATGTAGGATTCGAATATCAACTTGAAAATGCTCTTTAATAGGTTTGAAAAGAAATTGGTTTAACATGCAAACATCATAAATAATGTTAGGACGAGTGTGAGTAAAATATAATAGCTTTTCAATCAATTTACGAAAAGAAGTTGGGTTAGATAAAAGAGGAGAAGCCGAGTTCAAAATAATTTTATGTCTAGGGTCCATAGGAGTCGGAGCAGGTTTGGCCCCAAGCAAACCTGCTTTTTGAAGAAGATCCAAACTATATTTTCACTGACAAATAGATATTTCAGTTGATGATCTAGCAATTTCAAACCCTAGAAAATATTTTAAATTGTCTAGATCTTTGGTGCTGAATTTTGAAACTAGAACGTGCTTCAGAGAAGAAATATTAGTCATATTATTACCATCTAACACAAAATCATCAACATAAACCAAAACAGTAGTGAAGGAAGTGGACGTAACAAGTGTAAAAAGAGAGTAATTAATTTTGGATTCTAAACATGAACCAACCAACCAAAACAACAAATCCAACCAAACAATCTGAACCCCCAAAAAACTCTAAATCTACTTCTGCTAGACCCAAACCAACCCCTATCCAACTCTAAATCAAAATCAAATCAAGCTAAACATGCATATTAACACATTCCAAACATAAAGAACAAATTTATACAAATCCGAGCCAAACTCTAAATTAAACCTTACAAATGAAGAGTCCAGTTCCACCTCCTACTATAGATGCTGCTGATCCAGTCCAACCTCATACTACTAATGCTGCAGATCCAATGCCACCTCTAGAGGGTGAGGTTGCTGCGGATGCTAAGTCAAAGAAATTTTGAGAAGGCCCAATTGATTTGTCATTACTGCCTCTGTATCCAGACCATACTGCCAGAAACATCTGGGACGAAGATGTAGCATTAGTCAGATTCATTATTTTTTTACGTTAATTTTAATTGACAAATTTCTCACATTTATTATTTTTTCAGGAGCATGATCTACAGAAGTTTCTTAACCACAGGAGGAAGATTGATGCCTTGCTTTATCTGAAAGAGGATTGGTTTCATTCAGTTTTGTCCTTATCAGGCCTGAAGAACTTGTGCATGACTGGTTTTATTACCGTTAACCACATGATGCTTAATGCATTCATGGAGAGATGGCACTCGAAGACCTCTTCGTTTCATCTCTCACATGGTGAGATGTCTATCACACTCGACGATGTCTTGTATTTGCTACATTTTCCGATCAAGGGGAGATTCCTAGATCATGGGAGGTTGATGAAACACGAGGCACTCAAGATAATGGTAGAATATTTAGGGGATGATCCAGGGGGAAATGGAGGAGTTGGATAATACCAGAGGTGCTTATGCTAGATTTGAGTACCTGAAGAATATATATGAGGCTGAGATCCTAAGTTCACAGCAGACTGACGGTGATGATGAGTAGTAGGCGCTCCAGAGATCCCATGCATTGAGAGCATACCTACTTTATTTGGTTGGCACTGTGATTTTTATGGACAAGAGTGCCACTTTTACATACGTCATCTACCTACGGTACTTCGTGGGTTTCGAGCTGATACATGAGTACAATTGGGGGTAGCTTGTTTGGTATATCTATATTCAAAATTGAGAGAGGGTTGTATGTGAAAGACGAAGCAAGTCACATGCAACTTCATACTAATGACGGTAATAATTATTGGTATTTGAATGTTTTTTTGTCATTTTTATTTCATCTTTGAAAAGTCATTACTGATGATTCGTGTCTTCCAAAATTTTCATTTCAGGCTAGGATCCTCCAGCACTTCCCGTGCATCTTTGGTTGGGCGAGTGTATCGCTTTACACTGAGGATATGCCGTGTTCTACTGCTCTTATCCTGCTCGGAGGGAACCAGGCGACCTAGCGTTACAGAGTATATCTAGGCCGTTTGGTTGCAGAGGATATGCACTTCAATAACTATGTTGATCACCGTGAGACGCGACCATTTGACAAGATAGTGTTATAGTCTGAACGGTTGTCTTATGGATCGCGTCTCACTGCTTCTCATCTGCCCGAGCATGTCATGCAGCAGATTGACTTCACTCAGACCATTCTCAGACATCCTGTTGTCTCTGCTTCTCATGCCTTGATACGTAGACATATAAAGGACATGTTTGATGATTATGAAAGTCATATGGTACCGGAGGAGGCACAAGCTACCATAGCTGAGAGTGTTTGGAGCTATATCGAAAGGTACATCTAATGGTCCTTCAGGGTGTCACATCCATCCATGGTGAATGCTGCTCCAAGAGATCCGCCGAGACCAACTTATCAGAAGATACTAAAGAAGGAGCAGACACATCTAAATCACGCTGATGATGTATTGCATAGGCTTCGTTGCATAGTGGAAGTTGTGCATGCATACATTGACATAGTTCTCTTCCCTGATGGGTCTAATGTGAGGTAGGTCCTAGATGCCATCACGACGGAGGCACGAGGGATATTGTTGTACCAGAAACATCGTTAGGGGGCGGGGGGATTGATGGTCGATGAAGTAGATGAGGCAGAGGAGGTAGATGAGAGGTATTCAGACATACACAACAGTGTCCTATTATATAGTAGTAATACTATAGTCTGTATTTTATTTTGAAGATCTTATTAGTTTCAATTGTATGATATTTTGACATTTATTGATATTTTATTTATGTATTGCATTTTTGGACCATCTGAAATTTTGTACATATATATATATTTTCCGATTGTATGATATATCTTCATCTGAATATAGATAACAAAATATAACATGAAAGACCATGTTATGATACGTTACAGAGATGTATCTCCGGAATATACACGAAGATGCATCTCTGGTTCAATTCAAGTGAATAATGGTTTCTGAGTGGGATGTATTAAATGTTTTAAATTGTTACAGAGGTGCATCTTTGGAATATTTCAACGTTCATACAGAAATTGGTGGATTCGGAGACGCATCTTCAAAAACTAGAGGCATTTAAATAATTTTGCGTGGTGACTAAGAAACATAAATAGTGCATTAAGAAATCCTCTAATATTAAACCATTCGTAAGATTATGGATGACAATGAACATGATTTGAATAGAGTACTATAGTACCTGTCCCCATAACTGCAGTTTGAAAAAATTCATATACCCGAACCCATATCTGCATGAGGACCAACGTTTGTACCCGTAGCCCATAGATATCAAAGTACCCATACTCATACCAAATTTGCCAGAATTTTTAATAAAAATTTATCGATCAAATATAATTTATCATGACATTTTAAGTTTTTAACAACATTTAAAAAAAATAATCAAGAATATTATTATTCAATTAAGACATAAAGAACACTTATATTAAATTTATTTAATAAAATTGATAATCAAACAAGACAGGTTGGGTATTAAGATATTCGTACCCTGTCTATATGCAGTTATTTTAGTGGATAATTTTTCGTACCTATGTCCATACAACTTTTATAGATTTTTATTCTATCGGTCGTTTATAAGTTTTAAAGATATCCATTGAAAATATGTTGAATTGGCATCCCTATATAAGATTGACTATTTTTTTAATATATTAATTAATAATAATAAATAAATACAATTGAATACTTGCTATTAAATAAATTAATAATATTATTAATTATATTAAAAGACATAATTTGAAGAAGTAATAAATTTGAGGCTTTAAGGCTACCTTTTGTACTTGCAATTGTAACTTTCCCTTTACTTTTTTCTTTTGACATTACACTCAAATCGTTTATTAATTAACTTTTTTAATTGGAGTTGATAAAACATTTTAGAGACATATGACATAAATTTGAAAGACATGGAGATCTTTGTAAAAGCTAACAACGGATTATAATCAAGGTTGAAAGTTGTTCACATAAATACTTAAAATGATAAACTTTAAACAAGATTAATTCAACAAGAAATAAAAAATTAAAATTATTCTAAAGGTACTGCAAAACAAACAACATGTAAGAATCAACTGGATTATGAACATTGGTCAAACATGTTAATTATTTGCAGATTCCAATTTGATTTTTATTCCAGTTGGAGGAGGTGAAATTATCTGATTCTGCGCAGGAACAGGTGGATGAGCAGTGGAAGAAGAAAGAGGAAGAAAAGTAGTAGTTCCATCGTTGAGCTTTTGAATGTGAAGTCTTGGTCTCTTTCGGATTCTGGACATGTATCTCTTTTTCCTCTCTTCTTTACTTTCCAACTTGTAATGACTTGATGCATGCGAAGCAAATTTTTGAGATGTAACGAACACTTGGTTACACTTAGGGCAAATATACGGTCCATATTTCTGATGTGGTAAACTATGCGTTATACCATCATCATTATTTTTCTTCTTCTTATTATCATCACTGCTAACACCATTAACACTAGCAGCAATCGTCTCAGATGAGGACGATGATGCATGTGGATTCCCAAATTGAATTTCTAGAATCTTCATTGCTTTTTTTATTCCAGCAACATGACTTCCATAATTGTTGCTAGTATTGGATGATGATGAAAAATTGTGTGGTTGTGTTTTCATGTTGAATTCAGAGAGTGGAGAACATGTGTTTTTGGAAGCCATGGATAGATGCAATTTCAATAAAACTGAAATGATGTTACTATGACTTGAAGCTTTCTCCCTCCCTCAATTTATACTACTTTTCTTTAATGTTTTTTATCCTAAGTAATATTGATATAATTTCTTAAATTAATGATTCTATTTTATAGAATATTTAAATACGATTTACTTTAAATTTTGTAATTTATTATCATATGTTGGATATATGAATTTTACTCACCAAATTTTAAAATAAAAATTTAATCTATATAAATTTTTATATTATTTATTATCTCTCTTTTTTTATCTTTGACTATTTTTATTATTGTAAATTTATTTTGACGATTTTCTTTAATATAACTTCCTTTTCATTTATCTTAAATAATACTATCTCTATTCCTATATACAAGAGATAATTTATTTTTTAAATTTATTAAATAATTAATGTATTTAGTCGGTTAATAGATTAAATACATTGATTATTCAATAAATTTTAAAAGTAAATTGTTTATTATAAAAAAAATGAAAGTAATAAAACTTTCAAACTAAAATTTAAAAAAATATAAATTTAATAATAAATCTGAATAATTATTAAACATGTTAAGTCTTTAACTTTTCTTTTCTTCTTTTAATTATTTTTATCTTGGCTAATTCTATTTGTCGATAAATTGATAAAATTTTAAATATATCTATATTATCATATTTAAGTACATTGAACATTTCTAACTCAATTTATGCTATTCAGATGAATAAAGTATTATTTTTTTAATTTTTCTGTCTTCAATGCATCTTTAACCTCTTTTAATATTTTCTTTGAATATATATATATATATATATATATATATATATATATATATATATATATATATATATATATATATATATATATATATATATATATATATATATATATATATATATATATATATATATATATATATATATATATATATATATATATATATATATATATATATATATATATATAATTGTGTAATAAAAAGAGACTAATAATTTCATTCAGGAATTGTAATAATTTTTTATTGTATGCAAATAAAATATTATGGAATATTGAGTGATTCAAATAATATTAAATAATTTTTTTTTTTTTTTTTTTTGCTGAAAATGAGTTGTAATTCTAATTTCATTATTCATTCCCCACGCAACTTTTGAATTTCTAGCCTCATAAATTTGAATTTATTCTTTGAATAACTTTCTTTACACCTCAATTAAAATATGTTATATGCACATATTTTAATTAATTTAAATTTCGACTAAGCCACCAATTTTAATTAAAATACATGTTTCCGATCAAATTATACATTTCAAATACACCTATCTCAAAAGCATTACTAACAAATACACCTAAGTTATTCATTGAATCTGATCAGAGAGTGCATGTAATACAAACATCTTTTAATAAATCACCTTTAAAATACAATTGTTTCAATGCACACATTATATCTTAAACAATATTGTTTAATTGATTTGAAGAATATTATGGACAATATTTTTTCCTTATGGCCTAAACTTTAAGGAATTTTTTTAATGACTTTTAAATATATTTTCACTTACTCACAAATATGTTGTTTTCGATAAAGTTTAAAGTTTTAATCTATTGGATATTTTCAATGCAAATAAATACATATTTCACAACTCATGAAATATGCGTTATCTTTTCATTTTTCTATGCAACTTTAGAATTTGTAAGACTCATCATTTTGGATATATCTTCAAAATAATTTTCTTCACGCATCCACTAAAATATTTAATTTTTACTTACTCACAAATATATCGTTTTTGTTACGTACTTTAATGCAATCAATATTCAACAAAATTTAAAGTTCTAATCCATTGTATATTCCCAATACAAAATACATGTTTTACAACACATGAAATATGCATTATCTTTTTATTTTTTTTATTTTTCTACACAATTTTAAAATTTTTAAGACTCGTCACTTTGGATGTATCACCAAAATAACTTTCTTCACGCATCCACTAAAATATTTAATATACACATCTTTTAATGTAGACACTACTACAAAAAACTTCTTTAACATTAGTTGGATATGAAGTGTTACCTCAGTTTCATATGCGAGATAACGAAGAGTGTCATTAAAATTGCATCACTTTACCTCTTGGTTGAAAATCCACCGATGAGAAAAATGTAATGGTCATGGATTTGATCATCAGTGCTCAGTTTATTATATCTAATGTTGATTGTTTATTTCATCAAACCCTAATTTTCAAAATAATTATGCTAGTTAATTATTTTCGAGCATCCTGTAACTTATTATTCATGTCTCGTTCTTTAATGGTTAGAATTTTATTCAATGTTTCAAGTTTTTCATTCAACACTTCATTTTCACTAACTCACAAATGTATGTTATTGTCACATATTTTAATGAAATTAGTATTCAACAAAGTTCAAAATTTAAATCTATTGCAAATTTCCAATACAACGTGCATGTTTTACCACATATGAAATATGTATTATATTGTTCATTTTCAATCCAACTTTTAAATTTCAAAGACTCGTTACTTTGGATATATTCTCTAAATAGTTATTTTACGCATCCACCAAAATGTTAAATATATATATCAAAATTTTCTTTACACATCAACCATGGACTGCATTATTTTTTTTAAATAATTTAACCATTTGATCTAATTAAAAATATTAAATAGTTGAAAATTCAACGTCCATTAAATCTGACAATGCATAATGTTTTTTACCTTTGTTCATCTTTTTCCCTCTTCTCCTTCTTATTATTTATCATAACCGTGAACATATTCTTATCAAAACTCATAAAAAATTAAAATAAATTTAAAAAAATTCAACTATACTCCATCTAACAATTCAATTCAAAAATTTTAAAACACAAATCCAATAAAAACCTAATTTTTTAGATTTTTTTTTAAAATTTTTATTAATGCTAAATGAATAAATGAATCGATGCAATTTGGTGTTTCCAAATGTTAGCGATTGGATATGAAATGTTAGTGTTTTAGGATTTATTTGGATGTTGTTTTGCCTTAAATTAATGCTTTTTGTGTCGTTGATTTTTAAAAAACTATTTAAGTTGGAGATTTTTTTTCAAAACTATTTAAAAGTTGTAATTATTATTATAATATTTTTAGAATTTTGAGATTTTGATGAAGATGATGAAGATAATGATAAATATGAAAAAGATAGTGATAAATATGAAGAAGACGAAGGAGGAGGAAATTGAAGGTGTAAAAAGTAAACTAGAAGGGGGGTTGAATTGTGTTTCGCGTTTTCTTATTATTTAGCTTCTGATCAGAGTTTTAGAATCAGAACTGATGTTCAGATTCTGAGTTAATTCAGTTGACAGCGGATACAAAAGAAGTAAATAAAATAACATCAGAAGACACAAAAGATTTATACTGGTTTCTCCCCTAACTAAGAGTAGTTCAGTCCCCTTGCCTCACAAGAGCTTTTCTTTATAACCACTTCATGATTACAATCGCTTATGCTTCTACATAAGTCTTATACAACTGCTCAAACCAACTGCCTGAGACTTCCCTTACTTAGAGCGCATGTCTAAAACTTACCACTGCTCACACCATCAGACTGAGCCGCCTGCTCATCTTCCATCTGGTTGAGACTTTCCTTTGATTATACCTCATGTCTAAGACTTTCCTTTGCTCACACCATCAGACTGATCCGCCTGCTAATCTGTCTTCTAGCTGAGACTTTCCTTTGCTTATAGCACATGTCTAAGAATTTTCTTTGCTCACACCATCAGACTGAGCCGCCTTCTCATCTGTCTTCTGGCTGACTTACCTTTGCTTAAAACACATGTTTAAGACTTTACTTTTGCTCAATCAGACTAGCTGAATAAGACTTTCCTAGCTCAAGCACTTAAGCAATGAGACTTATGTGGCTTAAGCATCTTGGCTCAAGACTTGTTGCTTGAATCCCAATGAGACAAGACTTTTTGCTCTAGCACATAGCAGGAGACTTAATCTAAACTATTGAAGGCTCGGCAGAATAGAGAATAAGGTGTACATGATGCAAACATCATATGTACGGGAGATCACCATAACAAAGACCTAAAGTATTTAATATTTTTAAATACATACAGAGGTAAGAAATCTTAAGGCTTTTACACTTACAACCTACAACATAAAATCTGCCTATTACACAGAGTTGATAAGTTTGATCTTGTTACTCCTTTAACAGAAGAATCCTTGTTGAAAATTTAGGCTTGAATCTTCAACCATATATATAGCTTTTCCAGAAACTATCCGTTGAGAAAGTGACTTGATCAAGTGTCTTTGCTTTTGCTCCATAGTACAAGAGATATTAAAGATGGACGCACATCAGATTTCTGAATCCTTTGTGTAACACGTTTAACCTTTGAGTCTTCAAGAGGTTCTGTACTAATAGATTCGTTGGGAGTAGACATCCATAGAGCGTACCAGCTTTTCTTGAGCCTTGCAATCTTGTAGACTCAAGCTGACAGGATGATAAGACAATATGTAACAGCCCAATTTTCAATAACTGATTAATGATACTAGTTAATTGGTTTGTATGATTTAAGTGAATTATTGGATTTAACTCATTTATTCTATTTGGTAGAATAATGTGGACTTACTAGATATTCTCTAATTAAGGATGAGATGGGATATTTTATGAGAAAAGGAATTGGTAAATATTTTGAGAGAAGAAATAAATTGGAGAGAAATAGTAGGGAAGGATATATGAAGGGAAGCGGAACGAAAATGTAAAATAGAAAACATGAAAGGAAAGTGGAGGAAGAAGAGAAAGTAGAAGGAAAAAGAAGGGAAAGCTTGGAAAGCTCAAGAACGACTTCTGGCTTCCGGTTAATCGAGGTAAGGGTGTGAAATATTGTTATCTTACCAATGTATATGATTATGTATGATTGCTTGGATTTTGTTTGGTTGTTCTTCCTCATCTTCCATTCTAGGGCATAATAAGTTTAATCAGTAGAAATCGAGTTTTAACGGTTAAAAATGAGGATAAGTAGTAGAGT